TATCAGAAGGTATTTTGAGCTAAACTTTAGGGCCAAAAGCATTCCTTAGAGTGACTGATGTACAGAAAGTAGAAGAAGAATAAAATTAAGCAAATAGATATAAAATTGCACTGCTAGGAGTCATAAGGTGATTAAATTGTGCAAAGTTAGAGGGGGGAAACAAGAGGGAATTCTGATGATTAAATAAAAAGAAATGTCGATATTTTTGGACTTTAAAAATAAGAGTTAAATGCAAAATGGGTTTGATTAATGCACATCATTGGTGAAGATAGGTCTTATATGGGCAATTGAGACAAAATCTTAACTAGAGCTGAGTAAAACTGGTGAAAAAAATGTGAGATTCTGAAATTGTTCTACACTTCATGTAATCTGACTTCCCCCCACTTAAAATTTCAATTCATTGTAATATTTCTCTGTGAATTATGCAGAAACTATTTTCACATTAAATTTTTAACAGAAGAAGAACAATACATACTTTTTCAGAAGGGAAATTCAAGAAGCAAAGGTAGAATGTTGTTAGAAGTAATGTGACCCAGAAGTATGAACTCAGATATCCTCAGTCCTCATCCTGCTACTCACGCTAACCTAACTAATCATCCAAAATACTGCACTACATGGGTTAGTTAAACCTTACATTTTGCATTTCCTGACTTTTTAAAAATTAATAGTGTTATGTAAAATTAATGCAGGTTTTTGTATTTAAATTCCTCTTTTCAGAAGAAAAAGATGTGCTGGGAGGTTGGGGGTGAGAAATGACAGCTTCAGCAGTATGGTGTGTACAGTTTTGCTTTGCATAAACTCTAAACTGCAGCACTTACTTGCACAAAATCCCTGATTCTTGAACTTTGATTCTTGAGCTGCACAATGGTATTTTTCCAGAACTCCACCAGTCAAATTCTAGCTCTCTGTTTGGATGCAAGCCCAGAGCACCCCCTTGTCCCATTTCCCCTCTTGATTCTCCAGTCAAGTCACCAAGGAAATTTAAAATATTCCCCCTCTTGGGACTGATTTATTAAGCCTTCACAAAATACATACATACATCCTTTGGCCATTTCAGGCTCAAGCCATTCCTTTGTCAGGGCTCATCAATGACCCTTGATTTAGGGCTTCAGCTCTCTTGGTTCACCTATTCCCTTTGAGTAGGGGAGGGCTCAGTCCCACTCCAGATCTTGAGCCTTACTGGAAATATCTCCTAAACTCTTTCCTAGCCTATGTCTCTGGGAGCAAGCTCCTTCTGCCCTTACTAGACAGTCTCCACACCCCTCCTTAGAACTGCACTTGAATCCTGGCAGGCTTC